ACGGTCCCAGCCCTTTGCCCACCCGTGGCCAAGGCACCTCCTCCTCCTCCCCCCAGCCCCAGGTTGCCCGGGATGGTGCCGGGGGGTCTGACCGGTCTGCGCGGATCAGCGGGGCCGCGTCGGTCTCGTTGGAGGGGCTGCTGGTTGTGTTCAGCTTGTAGGAGCCGCGGGTGATGCCCGAGAGCGTGCGCAGGTAGTAGGTGTAGAAGGAACGTGCCTCGATGTGCCTGCAAGGAAGGAGAGGCTGTGAGCACGTCCCTCTTCCCTCCCAAACAGCCCCTGACCCCAAGGAGGAAGCAAAGGAGACGAAGGCGCAGCCAGACAGGCAATCAGATCTGGGGAGTGCATGTGGGGTGGTCTGTACTCTCCACTTGCCCTGGCAGTGGGTATCCTGACACACAACCTGCAGCAGAGTTGAGCCCCAGGCAGGCATGCCACGCCACCTCCAGGCAGATGTGGTGTGGGGATGGCTCAGTCACAAGCCATTTTCCCTTCTGCTAACTCTGGGCAGGGCTGGCAGTTCCGTTCAGTGCCCATCAGCAACCCTCTGCCAGCCTCCCCAACCCAGCCACTGTCTCCTTCCTTCCTAATGAACTTTCCAACAATTACAAAGGAGCACAGAGAGATGGAGCACAAGCATGGCACCCCACCAGCACCCCCAGACCCACCCTGCCCTGTCCCACACTCACACAGGCAGGCGGGAGAACGAGCCGTTGCGGAAGAGCAGGTATCCAGAGGGGAAGGTGGTGACCCCGAACTTCTCCACGAGCTCCTCCTCGCTGCTCAGCACCCTCCTCACTGCCACATTCTCATACTGCAGCATGTCCAGGGCCACCTGCAAGCCCCAGGGTCAGATGGGTGGGGGGCAGAGGGACCTCCAGCCCCACCAGGGATGCAGCAGGGCTGTTTAATGCCCTGTGTAACAACTTTGCACCTGCTAAGCCACCTGCAAGCTGAGCAGGGAGCGTGCCTGGAGAGAGCTTCCCTGCCAAAGGCACCCAGGAGTTATCAGGCACCAGGGACACGTGCTCCAAGAGACACGGGGGAAAAAGGCAGCTGTACCCACCTCTCTGCCCACGAAGGAGTTGCTCTTCTCAAAGATCAGCGCCAAGTACTGGTCCTTGTTCCTCTGGAAGAAAGTGCGAACCTCCTCCGCGCTGCAAGAGAGAGGAGGGCGGCAGCAGGTGCCTCGGCATCAGCAGGATGCTCTGCCCTCCCACTCAGAAGGAGCAGGACTGAGATCTGGCAGGGAATGCTGGTGCAGCCCCACCGAGCCAGCAGCTCTTCCCTGCTCAAGTTTCCAGCCCAATTTTCTGCTCCGGTACACAGGCTTTGAGAAAACCCACTGGGGTCAGCCAAGGAGGTGAAAAACAAAGCACAGGCAGGGCAGGGCAGGAGGGAGCTGCACACTCATCCAGGGGATAAAATAGCAATGAACATGAACCAGGGCTAGTGTTTCTTTTTGGCTAGGACACAGAGGCACCAGAGACCTGAAGCAAAAGCCCAGCTCAACCATTGCTTTGGGAAATCCAAATGCTCCCTCCCAGGACAGTGGAGCAACTGCCTTGTCTGGCAAGGACAACTCAGATCTCAAAAACATTGTACAGAATCAAGGAAACCCTTTTTTGGAACAGTAAAAACTCCTAATGGCAGAAGCCTCACTTAGCATGGCACGGCACTGCCATGTCCCCAGGAACTGGGGGCCCAGGAATTGCTTGCTCTAATTAAGGTTGATAAGCAGGTTTGTTAGGAGATGCAACAACATGGCCCATCTCATCTGGGCCACGTAAATGGCTCTGCCCTGGCCAGGTTATCTGTGTCTCCCTGGGACACGGGTGATGCAGTGGCTGCTCCATGCTTGGTTTTGGTTCAGGATTTCCCAAGAAACCTGCTCCCCATGGGACAGAGACCACCAGAGCCACCCCCACATCCCAGTGCCCCTACCTGGCCGGCTCCAGCGGAGGACAGGCGGGTGGCCAGGAGTCCTGGCTCTGCTCAAGGTTGGTGATGATGGCATGGCGCAGGTCCTCGACCGTGGCACTGGGATCTGCAGGGGGACAGGATGCCAAGGGGTCAGTCCTGGGGAAGCCAGTCCCATGGGCTGAGGCCAAGGGGAGCTTCTTGGAGCTGACTCCCACCGGACTCCCCAGTATCCCAATGCATGGGGTGTGGGGGCAGCAGGGACATTCACACCCAGGGTATGACATTCAAACCCCTGTGGCTCTGAATACTCACTGGTAATCCTTATCCCATCCTCTGCCTTCTTGCTAAAAGCTCTGAAGAACTGAAAGGGAAAAAAAACCACAGGGGAAACTGGAGTGAGTGTTTGGAGTGGGACGGGGGGCAGTACAGCCCAGCAGGCTGAGGCTGCCCATAGACCAGCTCTGCCTCAGTTTCTCCACAACACTGCAGCACACCAACTGTCACCAGCCACCACAGAGGGAGCTCCCCGACTGTGTTCCCATCTTTTGGGGCATCCTCAGAGGGGAGGGCTGCAGGGGAGGCTGGGAGCCTGTCCAGCCAAGGGCTGAGCACTGGCAGGCAGTAGAGCAGGTATCTCCAGGGGTCCCACGGAGGCAGCTGGAACCTTCCCAGTCCTGGAAACCACTGTCTCTCTGCTCCAGAGCTCTGACAAAGCAGGAAACAGGGGGTTTTCCCCCCTCCTGGCCTCCCACAGTGGCTCCAGTGCCCACTGTACAGCCACAGCAGTGACAGCAGGTTGCATCAGCCAGGTGTTTGCTTTGCAGGCTGGGCTGGGAGCAGGGACTGTTTGCAAAAGGTGCTTGGCAGGGACAGGGGACGTGAAGCAAGTGACTTCTTGCTGTGGACACATCAGCACAGCTCCCTGCCCTGGGAGATGCTTCTGTCAGTGTCCCAGGGCAGTGGGTGCTCAGTGAGACCCCAGGACAGGGCTGGGACCAAGCCAGCCTGCCTGGAAAAGCCCCAAATCTGACCCCATCTTGAGCTGACCTGTAAGCTGAGACTGATGGTGTGTCTGATAAAACCCTTATCCCTACCCAGTTCCATCTCAAGGCAATCCTGGTTTTAACTGCCAGGTTTAGCACCTGCTTGTGTTGGAGCAAGGCTCTGTTTGCAGCGGGAAGTGCTGCAAACCAGTGTATTGACACAGCTAAAGGGCTGGGCACAGGCCCAGGAGGAGGGATGGCATCCTGCCAGCCACCGCAGGAGGCTCCCAGGAGACACCACCTCCTGCAGCATCCCTGCACCCTCCTACAAAACCTGCCCCTGCAACCTCTCTCTGCCCTCCAACAGCCTTTCACAGGCATTTTCAACTCAGGATTCAGACTCTCCCCTCCTAGGAGAGATCCGGCCTCTACATTTCGTCACGAAGCAGCATTTTGGTTTTCCCCCACCCTGTTGCTCCATCACCCAGCAGTTGTGCTGGCTGCAGCCCGGCCACAGCTATGTTTTGGGGAAGGGCAAAACAGCTCCAGCCTGCACAAGCCCAAAGGGAGTATTTTGGTCCAATAGCCCTGTCAATCTCATTGAGCAAGAGCAGGACAGGCCAAACGGCAGAGCACAGTGAAACCCAGGAAGTGCCCGGCACGCACAGCCCTCACCTTCATCGTGGGGAAGCCGGTTATCCCAAAATCGGAGCACACTTGCTGGTTGTCCTCGTCGGCACAGTCGATGGCCGCCAGGATCACCGCAGGCCTCCACTCTGAGGGGACAGAGGATGAGGTCAGCTCAGCTCAGTCCCTCTGTGGCCCCAAAAATTGCCCTGCTCCTGGCAACTGCTGTGGAGACAGCAGTGATCTCCCACTGTGACGGTGGCACAGATCCTCCTGTCCCAAAAATCGCTGCTCGCCCTTCGCAGGATACCGACTAATGCTTTCCAAGCCCAAACACCCAGAGCCATGGTCCATGCTGGTGTTTGGTGCCCTACTTTTCGGGCAGCAGGAAGAGGGAAAGCTGTGTGAGGCGGGACCTGGCTTTGCACGCCCTGCCCTCGCCAGTGCGGGAGCTCAGGCAGCTCTGCCCGACGGTGCCTGCCCAGCTGGTTCTGCCTGTCCAGCCTCTGCCCCAGCTCCTGGGAAGAGGCCACCGGGAGAAGGGGAGGGATGGCTAACCACGGCTCAGGGAGAGCAAGGAACACGGGCTCCACCTCATCTCACCCCAGACCAAGGTCGATAACTGAGAGGGACCAACCCAAAACCAGCAGCCAAGACAAGGCAGCAGAGACCCCCTGGTTTCCAAGCATCCCCCCTTTGTGACTGTCCTCCACCTCCCCAGTGAGGACCAGCAGGTTCCTGGGGTAAAACAGATGGAGAAATGGGGGCATGGAGGCATTTTAAGCAGCTGGCTCTGAAAACTAGAAGGAAAATGGAGAATAAAGCTCTGAAATGGCTTCTTTTTAGTGTAAAGGACACAAGCTGGAGAACACCCAGGCTCTCCTTAAAGCGGGACAGGGAGGGACACAGTGCCAGCACATGGATGGAGCCCGTGCTGCCCCATGTTGGAGCACGTTGGAGGTGGAGACCTGCTGGGATCGTCCTGTGTCTCAGGTGACAGGGCAGGTGAGGCGCTTCCCACTGCCCTGGCACCCGTGGCACAGGAGGGCTGGTGACAAGCCCTGCTGCACAGAGCCAGGCAAGCCAGGCACGCTCCTGGAATCATCTGCACGTGGTGCCCGCGGGTCACCCTGGCATCCTCCCTGCCCAGCCCACTCCTACGAAAATCAACCCGTGGGAACGGGCAGCGAGGATGCTGAGCAGCACGGGGGCGGCTTCCCCGCCCTGCCTCCACGGGCGCACTGTCCGCGGTCCAGTCTCCGGAGCGGGGAGCCCTGGGGTAACCCTGTTCTGGAGAGGGGCCAGGAGAGCCGGCGTTCTCCCCGCAGGGCCCGGGCACGCACCCCATTCCTCACATCCTGCCCCGTTGGGGAGCGCTGACGGCATCCCCGGGGAGGGACGGCATCCCCTCGGAGGGACGGGATGCCCGCCCGGCCGGCGCCCTGACTCACCCGGCAGCGACCGCGCTGTATCAATTACGGCAATA